TAGAATTAAAAAGGAGAGAACAATCCAACATGGGAAGCAGGATACACAGCAGACTCATAGAATGGCAGATGTCCTAAATAGCATCCTGGCCACAGAATCAGCCCTTAAGGCATTCGGATCTGGCTGAAGAGCCCATGAGAGTATTTTAGGCATAGAAAGCCAACAAACTCTGGCAAAAAAAAAAAAAAAAAGACCTAAATGAAAGATCTCTGTGAGTGAGATCCCAGTAGAAAGAGCGGGCCATCAAAGAAGGAGGTACCTTTCTCTGAAGGGAGGAGAGAACTTCCACTTTGACTATGACCTTGTCTAAATAAGATTGGAGTTGATGAATTCAAAAGGCTTCCATAGCTTTGGCAACTCATGACAAGAGCCTAGGGTGATTACTGACGCCATAAACAAGAGTGTCAAATTGTTAAGTCAACAACAGGAGTCACTGTGCACTTACTACCCATGTAGGATCTCTGTCCTTAATGTGTTGTGCAATGTGACTTAATGGTACAACTACTACTCAAACAGTATATTTCGCTTTGTGTTTCTATGGGGGTGCAAACTGTTGAAATCTTTACTTAATATATACTAAACTGATCTTCTGTATATAAAGATAATTGAAAACGAATCTTGATGTAAATGGAATGGGAAAGGGTGCAGGAGATGGGAGGGGTTTTGGTGGAAGGGAAGTTTTGGGGCGAAAAAGCTACTGTAATCCAAAAGCTGTACTTGGAAATTTGTATTTATTAAATAAAAGTTAAAAAAAATTGTTTATTTGAGAAGTAGAATCCAGACAGTGAGAGGGAGAGACAGAGAGAAAGGTGTTCCTTCCATTGGTTCACTCCCCAAAAGGCTGCAATGAACAGAGCTGCGCCTATCCAAAGCCAGGTTCCAGGTTCTTCTTCCTGGTCTCCCATGTGGGTACAGGGCCCAAGCACTTGGGCCATCCTGCACTGCCCTCCCGGGCCACAGTAGAGAGCTGGACTGGAAATGAAGCAACCAGGACTATAAGCTGGCGCCCATATGGAATGCCGGCACCGCAGGTGGAGGATTAACCAAATGAGCCAATGTGCTGGCCCCGTTTCTGATTGCTTCTAAGTAGTCTGACAATTTTCTGAATTCTCTTTCTGGCAGATCCTTCATCTCTTCATCTTCACCTTCTATTATTGAAGAGTTGTAGTGTTCCTTGGAGGGGCTAATAATGTCTTTATTCTTATTTAAAGTTTTTCCTTTGTTTTTCAACATTTGTATATTTTTCTTTTTTTGTCTTGTTTCTTTTCTCTTTAGTTTGTTTCTTAGTACTTATTGTGAGGTTTCGCTATGATCTGAGCTGCTATTTGTGCATTGCAAGTGGAAATATGCAACCCTGCCTGCTGGAGCCCAGCTCACTTCTCAAGCCTGATGGGGGCGGGTATGAGCTCTGGTGCACAAACCCCAGCCTACTGGGGCTCAGCTTGCTTCTCACATGTGGAATGAGCTTGAGTTTTCTATATTCAGGACTTCTTGTTGTATACCTTGCATTGTGGGGAGGAAATTATTCTGAAATGTTGTGGTCCTCATTCCTGGGTGAGGAGTGTGGTGAGGTGGCCCCCGCAATTGATGGGCATGTGCACAGGAGGCAAAGGTGGTAGTCCCCTGCTTACATTAAAACATATAAGTAAACAATATGTCTTGCAGCTGGCCTCAGGTCCATTTAGGGGGAGGGAGGGACATAAATGGGCATGGGGATTCCTGACCTCTCTATTTGTCCCTTTATACCACCTCTTTTTTCCTGTGTGGATCTTCAAACACAGTTTGCCAACCTTCTCCTCCTGCTGCTGTCTGTAGCTCCATGATCCCACAGTTTCCCTTCTAATTTGGTCTGTTGGGGGCTGGTGCTAGCCTCCCAGTTCCACTTTTCTGCTGTGCCTACTCTGCTTTCCTCTCTTATTTTCTCCTTCACTTTGAACCAGCCCACTCTCTGTTGGTGCCCTGGGCTTCCCATCATGAATGTCTGGCATGTATCCTCTCTCCTTTTTAACTGTCTATTTTGACCCATGTGACTTGGATTGTCCTGCTATACTGCCATCTTGGGAACCCCTCAAGTACCTTCCATGAACTTTTCCTTTATATATATGAGTATGTAGATGATCAAGAAACCATTTAAAAATATAAAAGAATGCATCTTAGACTTTAAAAATTATTTTTATTTTATTTACTTGCTACGCATAGAGAGAGAGAAAGAGAGATCCCATCTGCTGACCATTTCTTCAAATGCCTGCAATAGTAGGGCCTAGGGCAGGTCAAAGCAGGAGACCAGAACTCAATCCAGGTCTCCCAAATAGTTTAAAGGTACCTGAGCCATCATCTTTTGTTTCCCAGAGTGTGCATTAGCAGGAAGGTGATGATTTTTTGTTGTTGTTTCAGACTTTTCTAGATCCAAAAGGTCTTCATCTTTGGGACAGTTAAGATGAAGTGAAGTTAACATGAAGATGCAGATGACCTTCAAGGGAGTCTGGGTGCATTTTCTATTGACTTATTTAAAAGCAAGAGAATCCAATGCTCTTTCTTTTTGAGAAACATCTAGAATAAGTTCATATTATTCTTAATAACATAAGACTAAGTAGGGTGCTAATAAACAGGGCCTAGCACCTAGGAAACTGCAAGGATGAATATGATATTAACAGAACTAGGAGACACAGCTTCGTAGAGAAGCCTGCAAATTCGGTTAGAACAGACTCCGTTTTAGATGTTGGTTTCAGCACTTTTATCTGAGCTTCGGAGAGAAGACAGCTGAAGGAGTGGGTAGAAGGTTGGGAATGAGGAAGAGGATGTCTGCTGATGGGAAGACAGATATTAATGCATCTCTGAGTAAATTCTGTGGATGAAGATCAGGACCGTGGGGAAATCATTCCTTTTAAGAGAAGAAAGAGACAGTGAGACTAGAGAAGATGATGAATGTCAGTGCAGAAAAGAAGCTGAAGAAAGATGCTATTGGAAGCAAAAATTGTTCAGTCTAAGACAGAGGGTGCCTAAGCAAACAAGTACAACATAAAACAGAGAATGCTTCAGGCAGAGGCAAGATGGCTGAACTTGACAGTGATGTGACTGCATCCAGTGAGCAGCAACCCTATGGGAAGGGACCAGGTCTTCCTTTTGCCATTGGTTCACACTCCAATGGCTGCTGTGGCCGGCACACCGCGCTGATCCGATGGCAGGAGCCAGGTGCTTCTCCTGGTCTCCCATGGGGTGCAGGGCCCAAGTACTTAGGCCATCCTCCACTGCCCTCCCGGGCCACAGCAGAGCTGGACTGGAAGAGGAGCAACCGGGACAGAATCTGGCACCCCGACTGGGACTAGAACCTGGTGTGCTGGCGCCGCAGGCAGAGGATTAGCCTACTGAGCCGTGGCACTGGCCCCTTTAGCATACTTTCTTTACTACTTTAAGAAGACAGTGGAAGAATTCATCTATGTCACCAAAATGTTTGTAAAACAGCTGTTCAGAACACAGAGTAGAAATTGATCTGAAGTGAACTTGGCCAGTCTGTTGGGCTCCTCGTGGGCACTGCTCAAATCCTCTCCACTGCACACCTCTTACTTCAACCACAGCTGCAGTGACATGTTCCATGCAGGCTTCTCCCTGGCTCAGGCAGGAGCTCCCTGGCAGCGTGTCAGGCCTGTCCAGTGCCTGCTTCTGGCTTCCTGACCTGCAGTTTCTAATTCGCAGGGGTATGAGACATCCACTGGGACCTACTTGATCTACATGTGGAATCCTGAAGTGGGTGAGTGTGACTACACATGTATCTATGTGCATTTGTTGGGAGGCATGGTGCTTTGACCACAGAATAACTGCCAATGAATAACTACACACCTCCCTTTTCCCCCAGGGAGTCAGTGACTTGAGATAGATGTTATATGACTTCTCCTTTTCTTTTTGTCAGTTAGCATACTGTGTTCCCCATCGTAGCAGTGGCCAACAACCAGCTCCATAACACATTATTATATTCCTCTCACTTCTCTGTACCAGTTTCTTGACTGTTAATTCCTAACCCTTTCGTCAGTTTCATACGTTTGCACTTAGGACTTTGTTTCTGGCTCTGTTCTCTGGGGCACCAAAGCTAAGGCAGCTGCTATTTAAAACACAGAAAATAGGCAAATTGTGTGATTCAGTAAGCGGAATAGGAAAGTGCATGAATGCCTTTTTCCACCAGCAAGTACACTTCTCTATCCCTGTATTTCCTGTTTGTGTGTGTGTGTTTTTGATAAGTTTACGTTTTCATTATGTTTTAAAAGTCTGTAATACGTTGTGATCCTTAAGTGAACATTAACAAGAAAACCAAGTGCTCTTGAATAGATCTTCAATTATTTGTGAAATATACAATATCAGGTAAAAAAATTTAGCTACTTTTAAATAAAATTATTTTATAATTAAAAACCCGTTAGGAGGAACAGTCCTAATTTTCCTTTATGCACATTGAAAATTTGCCAGGAATTTAAAAGTCTTTCATCATTACAAAAGGCTTCTGGACTTTAACAGTCCCTTAGCTCCCTAGTTAATTTTATGTCCTAGACCAAAATTATTTCTTCAGGCTTTCTTTTCTTTTTTATATTACCTAATTTAGTAAGTTTTTTTTTTTTTTTGTAAATGGTTATCCTGATTATGCTTTTGTTATTTAATTATGTGATCTATTGTAGCAATTATACTATCTGAAAGAAGCTTTTGAATAGAAAACTCTTTTAGAGACAGATCTGGGAGCTTTCCAGCTTCATGCTTGTGTCTTTTGATCTCAAGGTTGTTTAAAGAATTATGTGGTGTTAATGGATGTCAGAAGTAAGACCAAGACTTCAGCTTTCTCCTTTATCAGATTCAGTTAAGACAGTTCATCCAATTACTACCTCTCTTTGGTTAGAGTATATATGCTAGAGATACAGTTTCTCCAAAGGCAATATCCTTAAATTTTATGGTTCTTTTATATTTCTGGCATCTTGTTTTAGTTTAAAACTATTTGAATTTTTTCAAACAGAAGAAGCTCTTAGTAGAAAACAACAAGTTTGCACTAGGATAGAGATTTGAATGTCAGACTCTATTTTTGCCTCTAAATTATACCTCTAATTTTGAGCCTGTGAGACTGAACAAAATCCTAGCAGAAGGAAACTGTTTACAGGGCTGATCCTGGTTGCTCACCCTTGACACCATTAAAATGGACATCTGGAGAATCATAGCACTATGACAAACTATGTGAGTTCATGAGTGTTGGTGTCAGATTGTCTGAGGCCAAATCCTGACTGTACCACTTATTATCTGAGTCTGACACAGGTTACTCGATTTCTCTAGGCCTCTGTGTTCTCGTCCATAAGGGCAGATAATAGCAACAACCTCCTCATCAAATTGCTGGGCCCATAGAAAGCATTCCAAGATAGCTATTATCATTATTCATTATAGCTGCTAACATCAACTAGAGTCAATTACAGTAAATGCCTGCAATATCTATGAGTTCATTTATGATGAATATGAATTGTCTGTTAAAGATTTTTTAAAAATAAGGCAGGGAAAAGGAGCCAAAGAAACTTGGAATTGAATTATAAATCAATGCCTCTAAGGAGAAGCAACAGTGTGTACTGGTTAAAATCATGAATTCTTGAGCCTAAAATCCTGGGTTCAAATCCCAGATCTGCCACTTCTTAGCTCTTATTAGCACTTAAATAGTATACTTAACCTTTCTGTGTCTGTTCCCTCTTTCTGAAATGGAAGATGATTATAATGCTAACCTCATATGGTTGTTATGAAAATATAATTATTTTTTCTTAAAGCTGTGCCTGGAAGAGCTGGCTTCATAATGCATAGAACAATCTACTGCTTGAGTTAATATTTTGCTCTTGCTGTCTTAAAATTCTTAATTTCTTATTACTATATTTTAATGATTTTAGGCATAGAAGATACACTTGCCATGCACATCTGCTTTGCTTTTTCTTTCTGCAAATCACATAACAGCTGTGATGTAATGTGAGCACAGAATTTCATGGGACCCAAATGCCTGAGAGATCAGTGAGACTGAATGTTACATAGTTAAATGTGCTTTGTCTATGACTGACTATGTGAGAGTGCCAACAGCCCCAAGACACCGTGATTTCTGTTCAAACCAGAGCTTTCTTCAAAGGCAGGAAGAAGGCAATGGCGTCTGACAAGCATAGATGACGAAGTAAAAAAAAATCATCCTCCTTCATACTCATCCCCCCACCCCGATTAATTAGCTGCCCCCTTATGCAGAAAAGGATAGCATAGAAGGAAACAGAAGGGCAAGCTTTTTGCACAGCAGTTAGGTTGTTGTTTGGGATTCCTGCGATCCCATATTAGAGTGCCTAGTTTGAATCCCAGTTCTGCTTCTGATCAGTTTCCTACTGATGCAGACCTGGGAGTCAGCAGTGACGGCTCAAGTGCTTGGCTCCCTGTAATCCAGATGAGAGACCCAGAGTTGAGTTGAGTTGAGTTTTGGGCTCCTGGCCATCATGATTGTTATAGGCATTTGAGGAGTGAACTAGCAGGCAGAAGATATCTCTTTGTCTGTATCTGTGGCTCTTTCTCTGTCTCTCTGTTGTTCAAACAACATGAAAACCAATAAAATTTTTTAGAGAGAAGGAAAGGGAAAAAAATCATAGTTTTTTTCCCAGTCTATCTTTGTTCATCAGTACACTGAAGGTAGAAAGTGTCAGTATAATGTGCATGTATCAAGACATGAAATGAAATCAGCTGAGTTATTTTTGTGCAACATTTCTCTATTCTATAAAGAAAAAAATACATTTCTCTGTTCTATAAAGAAAAAAATACTAGTCTAGCCTGTAAGAATTGCATAATTTCAGTATTGTACAAGTGAGTTAAATTCTTTTATATTTTCACTTAAAGCTGGTATCGCAAAATATAAAAGTGGATGATTAAATTTATGTTAAAATTTTTAAAAAATGATTATTCTTAGAATAACATTGAATAGCAAATAAAAAGCACCATGACAAGTCAAAAGACAGACAGGGGAAGTAAGAAATAAATATCTGTATTTTAAGACTTCTTACAGTACTATTTCATGCTTTCTAAACAAAAGGTTCCACATTTTCATTTTGCATAGAGCCCTACAAATTATGCAGTTGGGCCTGTTGATAAGTACGTCCTAAGTACTCTACTTATCCATCCACTTACACACAGGTAAGTCACATGAGTCAGTGGTGGGGCCAGTTTTTTTTTTTTTATTGTAATGTTGCATCTTAAAAGGAAAATCCAGAATTTCTAGCCCTGATAGAAAAATATTCAAAGAAAGATAAAGTATTAATTTCTGAACCTGTCTCTATGAGTTTGAATTTCTACGTGGGGCTCGTAACCCCATCATCGTAGATTGAGGATTTTTCTTTTTTTTTTTTTTTAAATTTTATTTGACAGGTAGAGTTATAGACAGTGAGAGAGAGAGACAGAGAGAAAGGTCTTCCTTCTGTTGGTTCACCCCCCAAATGGCTGCTATGGCCAGTGCTGTGCCAATCCAAAGCCAGGAGCCAGGTGCTTCTTCCTGGTCTCCCATGCAGGTGCTGGGGCCCAGCACTTGGGCCATCCTCCACTGCCCTCTCAGGCCACAGCAGAGAGCTGGACTGGAAGAGGAGCAACCGGGACTAGAACCCGGTGCCCATATGGGATGCTGGCGCCACAGGCGGAGGATTAACCAAGTGAGACATGGCGCCAGCCCCTGAGGATTTTTCTTCTAGACTATAGGTGATCCTGAACAGCCAATTGGGCAAAAGATAGAGTATATATTCAGCTAATTCCTCTTACCATCTTCTACGTACTTTTTATTGTTTCTCCAAAGGACTTTACAGTTTTCTAAACATTTTCAAATACATTATTTCATTGAAACTACACAACTCTTTTGAAGTTGATAGTGAGGAAGTTAAAAAATGGTGTGCGTGGCTGTCTAGTTACAAGCTTTCCCCAGCAGGGCATCACTTGCTGAGTTCATCACAGCCCATGGTCTGACCTCTAGTCTTACAGATTCAGAAAGCAGAGAGTGTCAGTTTTCTAGAGCTGTACTGGACTTACACATGCTGATTCACATCAACTAAATCCACAGGAGAATACAGTATAGAATCCAGAATGCCAATGCTGTAATTTATAGAGTAAAATGTAGCTTCCCAGCACACCAGAAAACTCTCTTCTGTAGAAAAACACCTTGGGAAGTTAGATTATCAGAAGGCAGCTCGTGAGCATGGACTCAGAATAAGGAGGGCTGGTTGAATGACTCCTAAAATTTAACGGCATCAGGCTCCCATGGTCTCATACATCTGTATTGTCAACAGGGAGAATTGGGCCCATTTGCATCATTTTATCTTCCTAGGACACTGTGCTTCCTGGTCAGTACTGGAAGCACACTGATAATTCATGCCTACCTTTTTCTTATACACCTTGCTGATTGATTCATTTTCTGGTGGATTTGTTTGTTCTTGGGATATGTGATTTTTATCAACAAAGTAACAGCCAGATTCTTTTCCTTTCTGCTTCTGGCATAGGAAACACCTTTCCTTCTCCAAGGTGCTTTTTTCATGTGAAAGGATTTCAGAAATGTGTGCCAGTGTTAAAGCTTAACTCTTAGCTATTTTGGACTGTGTTGTTCTCACTCTTTCCTTTGGACAGTGCTGTCCTCATTTTACAAATAAGCCTAAAGGCTGTTCATAACTTGGTTTGAGAAAGAAATTCATGTTTATTTGTCTTTTGGATTTTTCTTTGTTTTTGATTTGAAATATAACCTTCTTCCTACTCTGATATATCATACTAAATCTGTCATCTTGAAATTAAAATACTTTTTAAATTTGAAGGCAGCATCACTTTATGTTCTTAACAAATTCCTTGACTTGACCTACAAAATATTACAGAATCTACTTCTTAGCTCACTTTCTAATTTAATTTTCTCTGTCTCTATCTATTGTCTGCTCTTCATCACACTCGTGTGCTCTAGCCTCAGGATTTTACATGCATTTGCCCTCTACATGGAATACTCTTCATCAGATATGTTTTTAGTTCTACCCCTTCACTTCATGCAGTACTGCGCTCATATTCAACCTACTATTTAAATTTATATCACTAAGCCCCTCTATCCTGTAATCACACTTTTCTTCATAACACTTATCAGTGTTATCATATATTATTTAAATTTCATATATCTATTTTTATTGTCTATTCTCATGGATGATATACTTCAAGAGAACATTCTCTGTTTTATTTGCTGCTATATCCTGAGTCTTCTAAACAATCCTACCATGTTGGACTTTTGTGGAATAAAAAAAGTCCATTGGGGCCCATGCTGTGGCTCACTTGGTTAATCCTCCGCCTGCAGCGCCGGCATTCCATATGGGCACCAGGTTCTAGTCCTGGTTGCTCCTCTTCTAGTCAAGCTTTCTGCTGTGGCCCGGGAAGGCAGTGGAGGATGGCTCAAGTGCTTGGGCCCTGCACCCGCATGGGAGACCAGGAGGAAGCACCTGGCACCTGGTTTCGGATCCACGCAGCGCCAGCCATAGCAGCCATTTGGGGGGTGAACCAATGGAAGGAAGACTTTTCTCTCTATCTTTCATACTGTCTAACTCTATCTGTCAAAAAAAAAAATTCCATTTAGGACACTTAATCCATTCTGATCTTTACTAAGTGTGTGATAAACAGTATTTTATCATTTAATATCCAAGTAATATTGATTCATTTACTGAACAACTTTCTCTTGGGTATCTACCTGTGTACAGAGTAGATGTTCATTAAATATATGTTGAATGAGGAGATAAATAAATGAACAATGCACAGCTATGATTTTGAAAGGAGGAAAAAGTGACTTCCAATTGTATCAGAAATGCTGACAGGATTCATAGAAAAGATAGCATTTCAACTGGGCACTGAAAAATAAGTTGGATTTATTTCTGTGATATGGGGATAAAAGGCACTCAGTACGTATTTAACATATGTTTAACTTAGAATCTACTCTGCCATATTAACTTCCTAGAAACATCCTACAATGTAAGCTCTATGAAATGAAAGTCTGTTTCTAAACAGTTCATCTACAAACATACACACATTTGTGAACACTTGATATATATATTATATACTCATATATATGTGTATTTAATATTTTAAGTAAAATATCTGTGTGTATATAATATATGTAAAAGTATGGTGCTCTGAAGTTTACAAAGATAAGCCTTTGAAACAGAACACTAAAGATTCTAAGGAGATGGTGAGGTGGGGTTTAATCTTGTGTTGTGATTATGCCTTTGCATTGATACTAGAGCTCAATGAAATTTACGTATCAGTTGGCCCATGTAGAAGCCCAGTTTTCTCTATAGGGGAAAGTTGGAGTGATTGGTCTTTGTAAAATATGTAATGAGTTTCAAATTATAAATATAGCCATCTTGATATGACTATAGTTATCTCATGATCATTTTTTAAAATCATAGTTTAAAAAAAAGTGGTCAAAAAGAAGGCTTAGAAAAATTAAGTAGTTTTCCCAATATCATGATGAGATCTTGTCTTGTGCCATCTTGAATAGTTAAGCTCTGAATTTTTATATATTCTGATGATTCATCATAACATATCTTCTTGACAGGAAATCCTTCCTTGGGGATATTTCATAGGAGTGTGCTGTGATACAGTAGGCACTCATGTTTCTTATATCTCCATTAGTTACAGGTATTGCACCATTTTTTTTTCTCTGTTTGAGCAAGTTTCTAAAACTTGCTCAACCTGAGAACTCTCCCAAAGCCACAGTTTTAAATATAATCTCTTTTCTTAACTTCTAGCTCTGACTTTTGACTCATTCATTGCGCTCATTATTTCTAACTAAATGCCCTAGGAACAAGAGAGTTAATCGGCCCGTATTCAGTTCATTATCTCTCCACCAAGCACTACTCTTCCTACTCTTTCACCACCCAATGAACCTAGAGATCTGAGTGATATCACAACCCTGTGATTAAGGGTCTGAGCTTGAAGTACCCCAACTACTTTCTCTCTGAGAGAATCAGGGGAAAACTCAGCTTTCATATATTTAAAAGGGTACTAGAACAACCTACCTGGTATGAACTGAATATTAATCTCCCTAAAATTCTTGTGTTGGAACTGGATCCCAATATGGTGGTATTTGGAGACTGAGCCTTTTGGAGGTAATTAGGTCACAAGAATAGAGCCCTCATGATGAGATTTAGTGCCCTTATAAGAGATGCAGAGGGCTTACTTTTCCATATAACCTTCCACCATGTGAAGATGTAACCAGGAAGACATTCATCACCAGGAATTGAATTGGCTGTCACTTTGATCTTGGATTTCATAGCATCCAAAACTATGAGGAAGACATTTCTGTTGTTTAAGCCACCTGGTCAATGGTATTTTTGTTTCAGTAGCTCAAACTAATCAAGAGAGTATTACATTGGATATTTAAAATAATAATAAGAAGAAAAAAACAATGTGTGCAGGATATTTAGTGCAGAATCTAGTCTTTATTAAGTGTTTAATAAATAATACTTTGGTAGCTAACATTTACTGGTTCATTCATTAAAGAACTTTTTAGTTAGCACCTACCCTGTGCTTTGCTAGAAAAGAAAGGAAAACAGGGAAGATACATATTTTATAATTCATGAAATTTGTATTCTATTGGGAGAGATGTATAAGAAACAAACAGATTTGTTGCTATTAAATCTTAAAAAGTACTGTTACTTTTACTTTTAAAGACAATGTTAAAAATGTTAGAGATAGTAATGAGGATAAGTTTTAAATGGACTAAGAAAGCCCTTCCAGATAGATCAGAAACCTGAGGGAAGTGAAAGAATTGAGTCATAGCAACACTGGGGGAACAACCATTCCAAGCAGAAAAGACTTGCAAAGGCCAGAGTGGAGGTCAGCTTACTTAGAGCAGAGCAAGCGAAGCAGAAAGGAGTATGAGAAAAGCAGTCACATCTTCTCAGCACCGAGGACCGGGTGAGGCCTGAAAGAGTTTAGATTTTGTTCTGAGTGTGATGAGAAGACCTTGGAGAATCCGGAGCAGGACAGCAACTTAATCTGGTTATTTTAAAAGAAAATTCTGGTTAGTGTGGACAAGATTGTGAGAAGCTAAGTGTGGAATTGGGAGACAAGAAAGAAGAAGTAGAAGGCTACTCTATGAGTCCAGGTAAGTCATAACAAAGGACCAAACT